TCGGCGACGTGCTGCAAGACGGGTGTCGATGTGGAGGGCAACCGTAATGTTACTGCCGGCAGGTCGTCGCGAAGCTGGTGGAGCAGGTCGAGTTCGGCGATCGGAACGAGCAACATACTCAGCATTCACAGGGCGTCGCTTCAAGCCGGATCAGGGCTAGGCCATCTCGATCAACGTGGGCGCGTGCGTCGACGGGGTGACGCACTGCCAAGCGCCCAGAGAACAGGGCCAACAATGATAACGCGCAGCCCACCCCAGCATAACATCGAGCACTATGAGGCACGAGTGTGCGTTGTCAGTGGGTTGTGCGCTTGCTATTTTACAAGCGGGGTCTTGAAGCATCTCGCCCGGCTGCTGAGATGTCTATGCCGACGGCGCAGGACGTGGGGGCATGGACAGTCAGGTCCGCCCCATCGGGCGAGAAGGGGGATCAACGCGGGATTTCGTGGAGGCTTCGTTTGCGAGGAGTTGGGGGTCATTGCCTCGCGCGACGCGCCGTTTGTCAACGCGTCGAAGCATTGGGGCCGGCGCGGATTCTACATCGTGGCCGCGTGGCGGAGGGCCGCGTTGAGTCCTGCCCATGCGTGCTCTGCATTGGTCAAGTTGGCGCATCTGTCGCGCGGCGCGCAGTGCTCTTTCAGCAGAGGCCTACAGTTCGGAGGCCCAGGACGTGGCTCTTAGGGCGCGCGCAGTGCGCGCAGAACCCTTTGCCACCGACAAGCTTGGCCTTGGGCGCTGTCGGGCAGCAGAGGAGTGCATTGGCGCCTTGGCTGCTGACTGTCGTTCGTTGTGGGATTGCGTGGTCAAGGGGCGCGTCCAGTTATCAGATCAACGATTGCCTTTAGAGGCCGCCATCGCCGGGCAGGTTTGCCGTCGCGGAGGCGCCAAGTGGGCGCAATGCATTCCGAGCAGCAGCAAGCGGGCGTCCTCGCCAGGGCCGCGTGTCCAGCGAGAACCAATGGGCGTTTGGGCTGGGTCTCTGGGCGCATGCAGCAAGCGTAAGCTGACCGCCCTCTTGGACGAAGTGCATCGCGCTCAACGCGTCGAGTTGCAGGCCGACGCCGACGAGCTCAACGTGTGCCATGCCGACCAGGGGACTACAGCGCCGTCGGTGACATCTCACGCATCGGTGGCCGCGACGTGGTTTACCAATCAGAGGAAGGGGGTTCCAGGTCCTCTCGTTTCATCTGCGCGGCTCTGTTTTCCAGCATTTTGGCACGCGGCTTCCCGTCGGGTGCAACCTGCCCGATCCTCGCAGCAGCGACCGCGGCGGCTTTGTAACCAGTTTCTGCGCTCATCAAGCCGACAGTGGATCAGCGGTCACATGTTGTGGCTTCTCCAGGGGAGTTTTAACAGCAGGCATGCAAGTCGGTGCTCTACTGGCCGCAGTGATTCGCATGTTTCTGTTTCAGTGTGCGCGCCAGACAACCGGCTGATCCGAGTGCAGTCGTGCAAGCAGTTTTTCGAACAGCCAGCTCCAGGACCTGTTTCACGTGCGATCAGGGTTCGCGCAGCGTGCGCGGACGGGACATGTGATTCCGAGATCCACCACCTGTCTCAAAATAGAGGCTTCGAGGTCTCAACAACATCACGCGCCAGGACTCCGCGAAGCATTGAGCCGAAACTCAAGTCATTGCCAGTGCATACCCTACAGTACAGGGGCAGTTGTAGGAACCGGAACTACCGTATTCAGGAATCAAGGCGGGCCCCGTGACGAGGATCGCGCATCCTTGCGACCAGAGTGGTTGAGAGGCTCCACTTCTTTTCTGTTAACTCGTTTCTGTCTGTCGGGTCAATCCTGTTTCTTCGCTGCATTGTTCTGTTTTGTGTGAAGATGACCATGTGCATGGTCTCGCAGGAAACGCAGGAGTAGTGTGTTTCACGCCTTTCCTTTTCCTTGGGGGTAAGTGGAGGTGTGCTGTTACCTTGCATGTCTGCCATGCCGGCGCCATTTGTTTTCTCAACTGGTTCAGGGGGTCCTGTTCCTAGTCGTAATATGCGAGCTAGACGTGCACCACATCAACATTTAGGTTTTCCGTGTTTCATGCGTGTTGTGTGCTTCCAGAGGCATTCTGGCCTCTTTCCACATTGTTCGAATTCGCGGAGTTGATGGGCGAGGAGATGAAACCAGTCCGACGTCCATAACATCAGCATGTGGACGATATTGGGTCAATTCTGGGGACCTCTTGGGCCATCGGACGGCCATCTTGAACACGTACCACAATTGGTCAACAAAAACCAAAAGTCAATCACAGATATTGGCCTCTTCGGTTTTTTGTAGAGGAACTCTTGGAGGTTATCTTGGCCGTCTCATGGGCCTCTCCGGCACTTCTTGGGCCGTCTTCGACGCTCTTGGCCATCTTTGCGGTCTTGGAGGTGTTTTGGGACTGTTTGTGAGGCCTCCTCGGAGCTATCTTGGGCTCGCTTCTAGCCATATTGGCTGTCTTTGATTTTTAGTGGAGGCCATCTTGGGCCATCTGGACAGTGTTTGGGGCGATTTGACACATGAGGAGTGGCTTTTCCCAGGCTTTACGGGTTGCCGTCGGGCTGGGCCGAGACTTCACGGAGAGTTGTGTGGAAAGAGCCAACAACTTGCCAGACGTTGTCGCAAGACCACAGGGGACGTCGGATCGAAGACGCCTACGGCGAATCACCGCCGCCCCCTGCCTTTGTGGAAGCGCCTATGTGGCCGAACGTTGAGGCCAGACCTGCCAAGCCATCGGACCATGTGTTCCCCGAATCGGTTTGGAAAGCCTTCGGGGAACACGTGGGCGTCTTGATGGTCATCGTCGCCGTCTTGGAGGCCTCTTGGGCGATCTTTCGGCGATCTTTGGGGGCTCTTGGGCCGTCTCGGGCCGTCGGAAGGCCGAAAGAAGGGAAATGCCCAAATCCATCAAAAACCTTGGGAAAATCAGTGATTTTGGCATCTTTTGGCCTTCCTGGAGGCCCTCTTGGGGGCCTCTTGGGCCCTTTTGGGCCAGCTTCGAGCCAACTTCGGCCATCTTGGTGGGTTCCTGGCACGTCTGACGCCGTCGGGAGCCGTTTTGGGGGCCTGTCTGGGCCAACGGGGGACCCTCTTGGGGCGCTCCAGGGCCGTCTTGGAGGCCATCTTGGGCGTCTTGGAGGCCATCTTGGGCGTGTTGGAGGCCTCTTGGGCCGTCTTGGGGCCCTCTAGGGGCCATCTTGGAGGCCACTTGGGCCATCAGGGGGCTCTCTTGGGGGCCTCTTGGGCGATCTTGGGGGCTTCTTGGGCCGTCTTGAGCCGTCGGAGAGCCGAAAAGGCGCAAATGCCAAAATCCTTCAAAAACCAAAGGAAAATCAATGATTTTGCCCTCTTCGGACTCTCCTGGAGGACCTCTTGGAGGCCTCTTGGGCCGTCTGGGAGGCCTCTGGGGGGCCTCTTGGGCCGTCTTGGGCCGTCTTGGACTCTCTTGGGCCGTTTTGGAGGCCGTCTTGGACCATCTCGGGCGGACTTGGAGGCCATCTTGGGCCATCTTCGCGATTTTTTGAGGATGTCCCGAGCGAAACGGCCGTTTTTGCGCACGGTGGCGGGTTCTGCCGGAGCCCACTGGGGAGTTCTTTTGGAAAAAGAACCAAAACCAAAACCTAACAGCTCATCCAGCACGCCGTGCACCCCTGCAAGCAGGGGGCGGCGGATCTAGTGGCCTTCGGCCCGACCCGCCACCATCACGCGGTGGTCGTGGGTGCAGCGAGCTGTGGGATTATGGAGTGGACTTTTGCGCTTCCAGATTCGGATCCTCTCGAGGGTCATTGGGGGTTCCACCTGGGGGCCTCTGGGGAAAGTCTTTTGGGGTTTCTCTGGGGTCTCTTTCGCCTATCTTGTTGGGGCCTCTTCGGGATCTCGGGTGTGTGGGGGGGGCGCTGATGGGGCCCTGTTGGGAAAGTTCCAGGGCCCGTGCGCTGGTGGGCTCCGTTTTGAGTGTCTCTTGGGGAACTCTTGGAAGTTTCTTGGTCTCCTCATGGCGGGTTCGGGGGCGATCTTCGGGTGATGTTGGGGGCTGTTTGGGCCGTCTTGGGCGATCGTTCGGCCGAATCCGCGAGAGTGCTCAACTTACATACGAATCGCGGGTTTGAATCCTTTGGGGTATTCGAGGGCTTCACAAGACCCTCCAAGATGGCCGATCGACGCTCAAGGGGGCCCCAATTCGGTCCCCAGAGGTCGTCTTCGCCCATATTGGAAGTGCAGCTTTCCCAGCCGCGCTTCTTGTGTTGTTGGGGAAGTCGCGCGCCTAGGAGCGTCTGGAAACACCCAGGAATCAGGGGTCCCAGGCCCCTACGAGGATCTCAGTTTTCTGAGCCTCAATGACAAGGACTACCAATGGCCTGAGATCACTCTGTTCAGGCTGAGAGGAAGGAAGACAGCGTAGAGTTGTGGAGGACGACCAGTGGAGAGGAAGCATGTTGCCAAATAATTTCCATATGTCTAAAGCATGTGTTAAACATATTTACAACATGTAAAACCATATTTAAAACATGTTTAGAACTTGTTTTTCTCCAGCATTTATGTTAGGGTGTCCATTGTCGTGGCATCCACAAGGGTAGAGGGAGGAGGCGGAGGAGGCGGAGCAGGCGGCAGGAGGGAGACGAGGATTGCTTCGAGGGAGGCAGGGAGAACGAGCCAACACTGACTCTTGAGCTGCTCCGTCTTCCCCCGACAGCTACTTGAAGCAGCGAGCTGCAAGCCCTCGATGGATCTGGAGCGCAGGCCCCCTTCTCGTGTTCCTGCTCCTCTTCCTTCTTCTCTTGCCATCGTTTGCTCGGCCGTCAGGGCCTTTGCCGCAGCGTCGCAGGCGCGATGCAAACGAGTATCGTGGAGCGTCGGCGAGTGGCAGAGGCGTCGGAATCGAGCCGCCCTGCCACCTCGCTCCTGAACCCTTTGTGCTTCCTCACTCTGCCGATCCCCCTCCTTCCTGCTCATCCCAACCCTTCTCTTGCCCCTCTCACCCCACTTCTCCTTCCTCCTCCCGGCGGCGGACCAGGAGGAGGGGCGGGCGCTCCTGAGCACACACTCCGGCGAGCTCAGAGCCAACCCCAAGGCTCTGGCCATGAACGCGTGCGAGATCCTAGGCCTGTTCGTGCGTCGGCGCGTCGTCGATATCTGCCTCCTCGTCGGCGCCGTGTCGGGATGCCTCATCGTCCTGGAGGACAACATCTCGCAGATGACGCCTCGGAACGCCATACTGGCCCACGCGCTGATTTTCCTGTGGCCGCTCGTGCTCCTGGTGCTGGTCCTGCAGACTATGTTCAAGTTCCAGGCCTTCGTGCGCGAGGTCGTGGGGATGTGCAGCCCAAAGCTCGCAAAGTGCTTCTCCCTTGGGTCCAACCAGTGGTCCGAACCCCTCCAGAGATCGTGGTGGGAGATCGCCTACTTCTGCCACGTCGCTGGGTACTCGCTGCTGGTGGTTGGCGCGCTTACGATGCGCCTAACGGTCTTCTGGCCGACGCTCTTCACATGGGGCATCTATCCAGCTGCTTACGGCGGCCCGCCACCGTGGCAGTGCAGCACAGCGCCCCGTGCGGCGACGCTTCGAGCACCTCCGTCGACTGTGGCGCCTCTCGACCGTATTCCCGGAGCGACCCTCCATGGGGGCTGCCTGGGCCGTCTTGGGGCTGCCTTGGGGGGGGGCCCTCTTGGGACCCTCTTGGGACCCTCTTGGGACCCTCCTGGAGCCCTCTTGGGCCTACCGTCTCGGCCGTGTGGGGAATATCTAAGCCGGTCTCGAGAGTTTCGTGAAGCCCTCGTGGGCCGCCTTGAGAGCCCTGGGGAAGCTTCGGGCCGCCCAGGGGGCCTCTGGAGGGGAGGGGATAGTCGCAGCTGAGTGTGGCGAGAGGGGGAGGGGGCGGCCCTTAGAGGCTTACAGAGCTATACGAGACAGCACATGGTATTCTACCACGCCTTAAGGTGCCAGGATATGATGTGATGACGGATTTCTACGACCGCATTATGATTATGAAATGTGCCCGCAATAACACGACGCCGATCGTAGTCGATGTAGGCAGCATCCAGTCTTCCTACACTATCAACAAGGGTGAGGGCGCCACTGCGGAGCCCTCTCACGTGAGACTGGTGCTGAAGAAGCCGCCTGGCTTCCAGTATAAGGCTGGGCAGTGGTGCCAGCTTGCGCTGCCCCAGTGTGGCTCGTACCTGAAGGCCCCCGCCTTCGCCAAGCCGCTGCTGCAGTGGCACGCCTTCTCCATAGCGAGCGCGGAGCAGGACGACTTCCTGGAGTTCCACATCGCGGTGCACGGCAGCCCCCACCTGCTGGCCGACGCCACGGACGTTGCTCTCGCACCCAAGAGCGAGTGCGTGGCCACCATCTCGGAGAAGGGCAATTGCTTCGAGTCGATGTTCCCGCACGCTGTGCCCCACGCGGGGGAGGTGACGCGAGGAAACCGAAGAGTGGAGAGGTCGGGTGTCTACCTCAACCTGACAGGCGAGGACGGCGGCAAGACCAAGCTGCTGCGGCCCCAGCTGCAGTGGACTGGCAGAATGTGGAACGTTGTCCAGTGGCTCCTGGAGTGCCGCGCCTCGCATAAGGAGGTGAGCCAAGACCAGGTGGAGGTCAGCATCATGGGTCCGTACGGGACCATGCCTCACACGGTCGCCGCCCACAAGGCCGTCATGCTCATCGGGGCCGGAGTCGGATTTCCCAGCACGGGGGCGATGTTGCGGCAGTTGCTCCAGGACAACCTGGAGAAGCAAGCAGACGAGCAGACTGCGGTATGCTTCCTCTGGACGGCCACGAAGGTTGACCAGATGCTGCTCTGCTTCCCCAGCCTCATCGCGGACCTGACGCGGTACGTGAACAAGAGGTCGATCGCAGAGCTAAAGAGCTGGCTCACCGTGAAGATATTCATCTCTAGTTTTGAGGCTGGCGACTTCCTGGACGTCAATCCTGGAGATGCGCTATTCCCGGAGAGCACGCAGATGCAATCGGCGCTCACGAAGGTCCGAAACTGGCTGCTCGGCCACGCGGGGGTCAAGGACGACGAGGACGGCACCTACGTCTGCCAGGGCTCGCTGGGAGCAAGCTTCGCAGACGTGCTAAGGAAGAGCGCGTTCGTGCGCGACAGGGTTGTGAAGCGGCAGAGCTCGCTCGGGGTCTGTTTCTGCGGGCCAGGCTCGCTCGGCAACTGGATCAGGAGCTTAGCTGCCCTGATACGCCCGTGTTGAAACGCAACGCGTGCCGTGTTCAAATCGTCTGTGTTGACACGCTGCGTGTTGGCCCGGCACGTGTTGGTCCACGTTTTGGTGCACGTATCGTGCCAGACCTACGTGTTCAATCTTCGTGTTGAGCTCCGTATCAACACGCAACGTGTCGCGTGTTGCGTATCGGGGCAGCGAAGAGCAGGAGCGACCTCGCGAACACGGTCCTCCCCGTCAAGGTGGAGTACAGCGCCGAGTGTGCCGGCGACTAGGCGCGACTGCGGGCAGTTCTCGGTGTCGCAGGCGACGGGGAGCGCAGGCCTGGTGTGGGG